CGCCCTTATGGCCACAGGAAAATGGTGAGATTGAAAGACAAAACCGCAGTATCCTGAAACGCCTGCGTATTGCCCAAGCAGAAGGTCGTAACTGGAGATCAGAGATGGACGACTTCTTACTGATGTATCGTAGCACACCTCATTCTACAACTGGGGTTAGCCCAGCAGAATTGTTGTTTGGAAGACGCATCAGGACCACAATACCCCAGCTGCAAGAGTTCACTGTTGAAGATGAAGTCAGAGACCGTGACAACGAAAGGAAAGAGAAAGGGAAGGTGTATACGGACTGCAAAAGAAACGCGCATGAAAGCAAGATTCAAGAAGGCGATAAGGTGTTGTTGAGACAGGAGAAAGAAAACAAACTGTCGACGACATACAGTCTCCATTTACAGCTGTTCAGAAGAATGGTAATAGTGTTCTTGTTGAGGCCGATGGTGTACAGTACCGTCGAAATGTGGCCCATGTGAAAAAGTGTCTCGAGCGAGATAATGTACCCCATGCCACCAGTAAATCATCAGATACAACAGAGGCTCAAGGAGTGACACCAGGTTCACCAAGCCAAGAGTTTAGAGAATCTGTAAAAGTTCCTCCTGGAATGAGAAGTGGAGAAAAACTACTGGAGTACAAACCATCAGATGATGCCACTACGTGGTAAAGTGATTCTACGTCCACCTTACGTCCATCAAGAGTCAAACGACTACCGCCTAGATTTCAGGACTATGTTGTAGGCTGTGTTCAGCTGGCCCCAGAGTAGAACTCTTACACCCAGATGTGAACTGAACTTGATCTGTTTGTTGTGTTACACTTCTGTTTATGCCAGTTTGAAGTGTTCAAGCGCTGNATTCCCAGCCAGCTCAACTTTAATCTGTAGAGCGGATATTTTGCGGAGCGGATCCGACGGGTACTCCTGTGTTGTAGGCTGTGTTCAGCTGGCCCCAGAGTAGAACTCTTACACCCAGATGTGAACTGAACTTGATCTGTTTGTTGTGTTACACTTCTGTTTATGCCAGTTTGAAGTGTTCAAGCGCTGTTAGGACTTCCATAAGACATTCAGAGACATTTGCATGCATATAGAATTGATCAGGTTTATTCTGTTTTGTTTTTCCTTCAACCTGACAAGTAATTCAAAGAAGGGAGGAATGTAGTGTTTGTGAATGTTTAGCTCTACCCTCCTCACCCCTCTGTTTTGTATATCGGAGCATGCGTGTTGGATGTTAATGATTAGAAAAACGTGTTCGACTCTTGCAATGGTGTTGTTTACTGTTGTTGGTTAAATCCGAATCATCCTTGGTTAAATGCGTGAATACACTACACAGTGGTCAAAGTTGGATAATCATATCTTGCCAGCAGATGACCTGCACCTCTTTAAAACTTCTATTTTGATTTGTTCTTGTTAATCTGCACCTCTTTTGCTTTTAGGGCTAGGGGCATTGTTTGTGTTGTATACCTATTGTTTCGTTTGGCGAATCATAAAGACCCTTGTAAACGGTGCGTGATCGCCCATAGCCAGTAGTGTTGGTGGTGTCATCATGCTGTTGTTTTACTGATGAGAAAAGATGAAGTATTTTATTTTTTTATATAGACACGTGCGTTTTACTAGAAAATACGCCACTCGCAAAATTCATACGAAACCACATCCGGGACTCGGGTGGCGTATTTTCCATATCCTCACTAGTGAAGATGTCGATGATTTCACTGATATCAAGTTTGTCTGTAAAATTGTATTTAAATTTGTTGGTGGATGATCGAAATATCTTCGGGTCTTCCTCGAAAGTCTTCGGCAATCTTCGGACATTTTCGGAAGATGTTCGGCAATGTTGGTTTAACCTTCGAACAAGGCTTGGAGAATCTTCGGAGATCTTCGTAAAGTGGTCGGAAATCTTCGGAAAATCGCCAAAAACGCCGTCATCAGTATTAACTATCTAATAACCGAGAGTGAGGTCGTTACGGGAAAATCTCAAACTGAGGCCTTACCGTATTGACCGAGCGATAGCTAGGTCCATACGGTAGGCCGAGGTTTGAGATTTTCCCATAACAACCGAACGGTCGAGGTTATTAAGTTGTTTATTATATGGCTTATGATCTAAAGAAGAGAAAAACATTATTCGAGCGGAAGTCGTTAATTTACATCTGGCGATGCGCGCGTTTACCGATTCATTCATCGTCTCAAGCTCAGGGCAAAACTACACAGTCAGTGAACTTTACCACTGTATCACGTATTCCGTTAAAAACAGATTTCTTTACGGGAAAAATGATCGTCACAGCCTCAA